ATATATATATATATAGAGAGAGAGAGAGAGAGAGAGAGAGAAAAAAATTTTATATTGTGTGAATTCTAAATTATATATATGTTATAACATTGTGGGATTGAAATCCCTATGTACTCACCAGGTTTTCCAAACCTGACCCACTCAATATTTTTGTATCACAGGTATCGATACAAAGACACATTACACTGAGAGATTAAAGAGATGTATATCATTAGTGTAGATGAATGTAAGTTCGGTTTATGCTTATGTGTCTGTATTGACCAGGACATCCCAAATATTTTAAAACGAATAAAATACATCTCTTCGGAGATGCTTGGATAAAGTATTTATCATGTTTACTGGAAACAAATTCTGCAACAGTTTTCTTTAAAAGATTACTCTGATTTTAAAACAAAACATAAATAAATCGGTCTTTTCTGGCCGTGAAATTAGGGGATGTCACATACTTCAACACTATAATGTATATATCTCGGACATATCTTCACTTCGGAATAGCTTCACTTCTGACATGATATTGACCTCGTACATATGACATATGCTACCTCGGATTCCATAAGGATTACTTTTCTTGTATCAACAAATTTGTCTTCTAGGTTTTTCTTAATGAGAGTGATTTCTTTGAATTTAAAAGCGGTGGGGAGATGAAGAACATAATTGGATTATTTTTTAAAAATATTATCAAAATGGATTATTTATGAAATGGAAGAAAATACCTAACTATGACGCATATTGTAACTTTATCGGATATTATATATTATAAAAATATAATATGGTAATTATTTATCAAGACTCAAAATATTCTTTTATATAACATGTAGTAAGTTATAAAGTTCTTACCGAGGAATATTGTTATTTTCGGTTGGTCTAAAGATAATATGGTCACTAAAATTTTACTAATAAAAACTGATGAATGGTTAGATTTAACGGGTAAGGAACCATATCTGCAACAAATTGAACCACAGGTATGTTCTATAACAAAAACAAAATCGGACTAAACCTGACATTTTTAGTAAAGCATAGGGACCAAGTTTGTAACTTACTCTATAACTTATTCTGTCATTTATTACAGTTTGTGATATCTTTGTATTAAGGTTTTAATGAATGACAGCAGATTAGCCACGTTTCGCAAAGTTTGGTGTCACACAAGTATTTAATTCGATGTGATGATTAGAGACGTTGTCTTGTCACTCTACACTATCATTAAATTAAGGACTATAGTTAGTTGTCTTGACAAATACAATATTCAAGATTATATTTTTTTTTTTGGAACCGGCAAAATATATTAGATAAAAAGGCCAAATAGCAAGAAACTATAGGCCAAAAGTACAAAAAGTTGACAAGAAATATTTAGATACAAGAGGAAGGATTAGTACACCAATCAATCCATTTATAGGACGAATTAGTTCTCCTATGTTTAATCCATGTAAATACCATGGACTGAATGTTTCCCGCCGGTTGGTTAGGTGATCTCCAAAATCTTCTTAAATATATAATCGCACCTTGCTTTCCAGATTAGCCATGCAGTACCATAGCAAATGCTAATTAAGTTCCTCCTCCTCTTTAAGCATCGGCCCCATGTAAAGCAAAACTCCACCATGTCACTTAGATTCCCAAAGTGGGGATGAGGAATTCCATACCACCTGAACATCGCCTCCCACACCTCTGCTGCCATAGAACAGTTGATCAAAATGTGATCAGTATCTTTTATCTCCATATCACAGTAGCTGCATTTAATTGTATTGAAATTGATTCCTCTCCTTTGAAGAGCACACGCAGTTGGAATACCATTTAGTATTGTTGTCCACATAAAACATCGCACTTTAATCGGCACCTCTTGTATCCAATCGATCTTCACGTCTCCAACATTCGAGTTCTCCTTATCGATTTGGTCCCTTACAACATTAACGTGATAGGCCCCGTCTCCAGAAATGTTACATACCCACTTATCTGGATGGGCGTTTGACTGGAATGATTCCACTTTGGTAACCAGCTCAGCCAATTCACGTGTTTGGGAGTTAGAGGATGGTCTCGACTTCCATTCCCATGTTACCCTTCCATTGTCCATTCTGTCCCTGATTTTACATTTTTTACTTTTCTCCAGCTTGTACAATCCAGGGAACAGTGATTTGAGATTTTCGTTGACCAACCACTTATCTAACCAGAATAATGTGTTGTCTCCTTTACCCACCTGTTTTTTGATTACTTCATCAAAATTGATTCCAGCTTTCGAGAAGTCACTTTTTACCCCTTCTATATTGTTCCAAACACCCGGAATGGATTTTTTTGAAATACAATCTGCAGCCTTGTTCTTGAGATTATGAATACCAATAATAGTCTCCCTCCATAGACTTGTTCCATCACCTCGCAACCACCACCACCATTTGCCAATTAATGCTAGATTTAGGGTTCTAAGCGAACCCAAACCAAGACCACCAACTTCTTTAGGGGACACCACCTTTTGCCATGAGACCCAGTTGATTTTTCTCTTCCCGTCATCATTCTTACCCCATAGGAATTTCCTTCTAATACTTTCCAAAGAGTTTATGATTCCAACAGGTGCAACGAAAAGCGAGAAATAGTAAGTAGGTAGGTTTCCAAGAACTGCTTTGCATAGGGTGAGACGCCCCCCCCCCCCCCATTGAAAGGGTTTTTGATTTCCATGCAGATAGTTTGGCCTGGAATCTCTCAATTACCGGTCTCCAGTTTTTTTTCAACTTCATGTTTCCTCCCACTGGTACGCCTAGATAACTGAAAGGAAGTTTGGCCGGTTCACATCCAAGGGGAGTGGCATACCGGTTAACCTCATGCATGTCAACTCCAACTCCAATAACCCGCGATTTGTGAAAATTGACCTTGAGGCCTGAAGTGACATGAAAGCACCTTAGAATTCTTGCAAGGTTTTTAATGTTTTCAATATCCCACTCGCCCACGAATAGAGCATCATCCGCGTAAAATAAATGAGATATAGTTGTTTCTGAATGTGGAAGAGAAATCCCGGTAAAAATTCCTTTCTCACATGCTGTTTTTACTGCAATATTGAGCCCCTCCATGGCGATAATGAACAAAAAAGGCGATAGCGGGTCGCCTTGTCTAACTCCCCGTTCCATCTCGAACTCCTTTTGTGGGTGAACCATTTACGAGTACAGATGCTCTTGCGGAGCGTAAGCACCCTTGAATCCACCTTCTCCATTTTTTCACCAAACCCAAGTTGCATTTGAATTGAGTCAAGGTATTCCCAGTTGACTGAATCGAAGGCTTTGTCGAAATCCACTTTGAAGAGTAACATTTTCTTTTTAACTTTCTTACTCCAGGAGCATAGTTCGTTCACAATTAGCGGGCCATCCAAGATATTCCTCCCTTCTACAAATGCAGATTGCACCTCTCCAATGCACTTACCAATAACCTTTTTTAATCTATGAGCTAAGATTTTTGCAATTATCTTGTAAATACATCCAATTAGACTTATAGCTCTATAGTCACCAAGCGTGAGTGGATCCTTGATTTTTGGGGCTAGAGTGATGAAAGAGGAGTTGCATCCTCTTCCAAGCCTCCCATAGTTTTCGAAATACTTAACAACATTTATTACATCATCTTGCATCTCCACCCAATATTTCTTAATGAATTGGAAAGAAAATCCATCAGGCCCCGACGCCTTTTCATTCCCACATGCCCATACATCACACCTGATCTCATCATTAGTAAATGGGGCTTCCACCTGAACTTTATCAAGTGCTCCCAATGGGGTGAATTTGTTGCTGATCAGCTTTGGTCTCGATGGCCACTTCTCCAGGAATTTCTTTTGATAAAATTTAAAAGCTTCTTGTTTGATGGTCTCTACATCGGTAGCCCATAATCCGTTAATCTGCAGCCCCATTATACTGTTCTTTCTATGTTTATTATTCACATATCCGTGAAAAAAAGATGTGTTCTCATCCCCATCTATCACCCACTTTAATCTGGATTTTTGTTTCAGATCCAAGGTTGCTAATTTCTTCATTTCAACTATTTTCTGTATTCCAGATCGTCTTACATTGATCTCCATTTGACTGAGTTGTCGCATTTCCGCCAAGCATTCAATGTCGTGCACCTGTTGTTTAAGTCTTTTTAATTCAACAGTTTCCTTTGGGTACTCACTTGCCCTCCAATTTTTGAGTTCGTTCTTCAAAAATTTGAACTTGGCCACCAGATAGTAATCCGGGGTGCCATACCCCATGAAGTTGTGCCAGGCTTTGGAAAATACAGTATCGAAACCTTCCTTCTGCGTCCATGAGTTGAAAAAACGAAATGGGGGTTTTGCAAAATCGGGTGCAACAGTTTTTAGAACAATGGGGCTGTGGTCAGATATATCCCTTGGGAGTGCTGTAACAGAGACTGATGGAAAGGCGTTTAGAAAGTTATTACATACCAGGAAGCGATCGAGTTTACTTAGTTTGATATCCGTTTGGCAGCAGTAGGTATACCGAAGACCACCCATTCGAATGTCATTAAGGCCTACTGCATTGATGAATCTATTGAAGTGAAAAGCAGACTGAGAGCAAAACTGTGAATTATACCGCTCGTCAGCCCGTCTAACTGTGTTGAAATCTCCAAACACTACCCAAGTACCGCCTCTATTCCTTTTAATTTGTAACAATTCTTCCCAAAGCTTTTTTTCTCTGTACTAGAATGTAGGCCATATACATTTACTAAGATGGTATCCCCTTGAATTCCTTCCCATCTCCCAATTGTTGCCAGTAGGTATCTCGATTTTATTATCTCAGAGACTTTGAATATCCTGTTGTCCCAAATGCTTAATAGACCACCAGACCTTCCCTGAGATTGAATTGTCGAGCACCCAAATTCTGTTGAGTCCCAACATCCTGCGACATCGATGTCATTCACATTCACCAATTGTGTCTCCTGTATCCCCACAAAAGAGGCTCGATTCTGTATTTTTAACCTCCTCACCCATTTAACCTTGTAGTCTTCGCCTATCCCACGCACATTTATGCTGATACAGTTCATTGTGGTGCTATATCGTCACCAGTTTCGCCCATCACTCCTTTTAAAATCGGATCGTTGGAGCTAATTTCGAACCCCAGTGCATTCCCAATTTCTACCGTCTTACGAACTTCTATTGAGGAGGAGGAGCTACCTTCTGGCTCGTTTTCATTCGCAAATACCTGGTCTTCAGATGGGGCTCTGTTAATGTCGATTGGGGCGTGATCAATTCTTATGGGCACCGTCGATTGGGAAGCCATGTGCGTCGGGGGTTCATCAAGGTCAGAGAGAGCTGCCATTGAGTTTATTAGTGGGGGAGATCTTCTGTTTTCGTCACGCTCTAGTCTTCGTCTTTTCCCCAATGAGCTACAAACTTCAGATGACTGGCCCCTAACTTTGTTTGTTGCGATAGGAGAAGAAAACGGCCCAAAACAGCTAATTGGAGGTAGCCCATACAAGGGCCCATTTAAGTTTGGGCTTAAGTTCATGCATGGGTCAGGTCGCCTGCCATTTGTGTTGTGGGACCTGCCGGGAATATTACCGTTAACGTTTAATTCCTTCAAGATTATAGGCGACGCTTCGTGTTCAGTCATCATAGAATCCCGCACCATCGTTTGTTCCCCATGTGCCCTTTGCTCTTCTTCTGACGTTCCGATTACCTCTCTCCAGTCTACCGGGTGCTTGGCCGGAGATTCATCTCCGATCACTGCGTTTGTCCCTTTTCCACCATCCGGTTTATCCACATCTCTTTCCGTTTGTAATTCCGGTGATATCTCACCTTCTTCCTTCTCACCATCGGAATTTCCCATATACGTATCCGATACCCCATCCTCTTCTTCATCCCCATACTCGCCGTCTTCCTCGTCATCCCCATCCGGTATCTCATAGTAATCTTCCGACGTGTCAAATCGAAAAGGAAACCATTCTTCATCAAATTCGGTAATACCAATCTTAAAAACCTTCCCGTCCATGCCAACATGTAGTTCGTCGTTTATTCTAGTCTTCCTTGAGGTGAGAATTCCAATCTTCGGGCACGACAAGTCCACCCTGTTTGGTAAATCTTCATATGGTGCTATTGTCTTCCCTAAATGTTCAGTGATAGCTGTAAAGTTACGATCCCCCCATAGGTAAAGTGGAAGTCCCAATATTCTGATCCAGGCCACTCGCTTAACTTGCATATCAGTCTTGTCACTCCAATTCACCCATTTCAGATATTCTTTCCACCTATTCTCAGTATTCAGGAATTCTTTAGCATCTACTGAGTTGCCAAAAAGAAGGAGTACCCTTAGCCCTCCGATATATTTTATCTCCAACTCTGTTTCACCGTTATCTCGTAGGAGTTTCGGTAGATGCCCCAGATGATCTAAGGTCAATGTCTCCCCAATGAGTGATGTTTTGTGCAGCCAGTGATAAGTCTGGTCGTCACGTTGTAATTGGATGGGTCTTGGTCCCGGAGGTGCCTGCGGGACAAATTGGCCTGAGTTTTTCGCCGGCATATGTGGGTCTCTGGTGATATCTGCAAAGGTCCGGTGATCCCGGAATGTATTCCATGTCCCAGCATTATTTCCTTGTACTGACCTCCGGTTTACAATAGCTATGGGTGGTTTTGGGGTTTCTTTCTTTCTGTGTTTCGCCAGGTTAACTTCCAGCCTATTCCCTCTGTATATCATTCCATTAATCTTAGCTTCTAACTCCATGACATCTTTGACTTCACCGAACCGTACAAATACAAAATACTTCCCATTCTTCCCCTTCTTGTCTCCCATGTAGACATCTGTAATCTTCCCAAATCTTCCAAATGCCTCTCTGATTTCTCCTTTCCTTGCTTGCTCTGGAACATTGGTGACAAAGTAAGTTGTTTCCTGGACGTGCACTGATCTCGCCGGTGTCTTTCTTCTTCGTACTTCCGTCCACTCCATAGCTCCCACCTGTCAAAACGTATCCTTTTTGATAAATTCTGATGTGTTGCGTATCTTGAACTTAGTGAGATTGATATTCAAGATTATATATATATGACTAAATTATAGAAATGTTCTAATAGGTTGGCATGACTTCGCAGTTTTAAGCATAGATTTTTGTTTTTGTTAAAAATGGTCCATATAATTCAGGTTCGAATTACAATATTAGTCGCTGATCTCAGTTACCGTTAAATGCTCTTCTGCTAAGTACCTATAAAAGGACTAAAATAGCCTATCATTTTACCATTTAGAATTATTGTTAATTAATAGGGCCCCACTCCTTAGATACCATGATCACCATCACTCTATACCACCATATAACACCATCACAACCATCATTTTTTAGTGTTTTGATTTTTATATTTATTTTTTGTTGGGTGATTTTAGTGTTATCAACATATTTTGGTGTAATTTTCTGTCGTTAAGAAAAAACATATTTTGGTGTAATTATTATTAATAATGAGATAGGTTGAGCTCCATTTACTAACTGAAATAGGAGATGTGAGGTGCACACTCGGAGTGGTAAATATGAACTCGAGAATACGGGGGTCCGGAGGTAGGGCCCCTAGGTGTAGGGTTCCAAGGGGTTGCGCCCTTGGCAGGGTCTAGGGGCAGCGCCCCTAGCGGGGTCCAAGGAGCAGAGCCCCTGACGGTGGTATCATGATGACGTCGTAAGTTGGTTATGTCTTAATAACTAACATTTTTTGCGCCAAAATCATGCAACTTCCGTTTAACTACTTTCCCTCTTGTATAAGAACCTTTTCTGGTTCCAGAAAACGGGTTGGAACATATATACACGAAAATCATACATTTGATTTGACTTATCTCTCAATAACATAAAACATCAATGTACTTTTTTGTGCTTCTGATTTAGAAGTGGCATGACTTCTAAATTGAAATTTTTTGGATTATCCAAAATCTGATTTCGTGATACCCCAGGCTATAGGATCGAAATCACAGGTTTTGGAAAGTGATTGCAATCATGATCCAAGAAATATCCAAGTAAATTGATATTCTTAAGACCCCAAAATCTGACATCTTTAATAACAACAATCACCACAATCACCATCATCGTATACCATAATCACCATCGCCATCACTATCTACGATCACTAGCGCCATACACAATTACTGCCAACACCATTTACCAACGCCACCACTATATTAAGAAACCTAAATAAAAACCAAGAGGTGGAAGAAGTAGAGGAGCGAGACCATTTATGGAGGAACCATATGAGATCGAGACCATTTCTGATTGAACATCCAAGATCAGAACCAAATCAGATGGAAGAAACAGAGGAGTGGCGACGATTATAAGACGATTTCGTTGGCGCTTGGGGGGGGGGGGGGGGTCATCTGACCCATTTTTAAGATGTTATCGAAGTTCAGAGATATCGTTGGATTTGGAGAACTATTAGAAAAACGCTGCTCATAACATTTAAAATCCACACGGTTCTACCTTTGAACTTGTCGGTAACACCTTTTTTTTGTCACCAATCTTCATCTCCCTTAACAACACCACCACCACAAGAATCGGTAAACAAAAGGTGAAGAAGCTAGATATATTGGCGGAGGAGAAAGAAAAATATGAAAAATCAACTGTAGAGAAAGATTACGAAATTTTAGGGTTTTTGTTAAATTTACAGAAATATACCTTAAAGTATGTAGGTTTTCGTACTTTTGGTTAGGGGTAAAATGGAGTTAAAAGAAATTGGAAACAATGTTAGACGAGGAACTATATATGAAATTAAAACTTGCAATAAGGACCATTTTGACAAAATCAAGAAACTATGAATAAAACTACAAAATCATGTCAACCACATGAACCATTTCTTAATTTATAATATACTAGGTTAAAACCCGTGTGATACACGGATTGCCAAATTAAAATAGCAAAACTAATACATAATAAGTGGTTTGCAATAAAAAAAAAAGCAACAATATTCAAATCCAGTTGCTGGAATGAATCGCAAAATGTTTCCGGGAGGAATGGAAATTTGAATATGAGGAAATTTGATTATGAAGGAATTGTAATCCGTCATTGGTAGGATATGGAACGAAATTCAATAATAAAATGTAAACAATTTTTTAATTTAACTTAGTGATTGTAGTGTTTTTTCAAACTGTACAACTTAAACAACGCGAACTAAGTTATGGTGGGTTTTGGAGGGAAGGCTGTACTGAATCAATCAATCAATCGTCTTTCTCATGCAAAACAGTTAGCCTACCATTGAGAGCCGCATGATATACTCGTTTCTCTGCCAAACCAATATCTGACATTATTAAATTACCTTGCACAACCAACATAACAATAATAATAAATATTGTTATTATTATTATTATAAATTGAAAATGAAAATGAAAATGAAAGAATATACATATACCTCACGAGCCATTAATCTGCGAACATTTTCGGCATATAATTTAGGATTGTCCTTCTCTTCTTGTGAGGGGTAATAAACTGGCAAACGAGTTACCCACATCTTATTTACAAATTGACATAACAGCAAAATCACATGCCGAACCTGAAAAATGGAATCAACAAATAAATTGGAATTCAATTCCATTCCAATCCCAAACTCCCTTCATCAATAGATTTCAACATTCCATGCATTTTCTCATTGTTAAAACTAATCAAATACACCATTTTAACCCTAGAATTGCAAAAGCAAACTTCTTCTGCTTACAAGGGTATTTTGGTAATTTAATATATAAAAAAAGGTATATTGGAAGGATTCTGATGCAATTGAATTTTGTCTAATTGGCAAACAAGCAGGCCATGGAATGGAATCTTGAATTCAATCCCAAACCAAACACACACCCAATTCCAATTCCTTCCAAAACATTTTGCGGACCAAAACGCCCTTTTAGAAGACAGATCAGCATTTAAGTTTAAACACTCACCCCAGATATGGAATCCCATGCAGGGCTAAATCATTCATAAGGATATTTCAAAATAACAGGAAGAACATGAGCTTTTGCCAGAAATGCACCAGTTTTAAATGGAAGTATATAATCCCCATTTGTAGTTGTCCCGTCTGTATAAACAAAAAACAAAGATAAATAAACTAAATTAGATATAGGTGGGTGGGATCAAAAATTAATAATTTGCAGCTAATATACGAATCAAAAAATCCTACACTCTTCAGATATACAGAAGAAATTATACACCTTTTACTTTGATATAAATTTGAAAATGAGAAACAATAATGACATATATAAAATAATAACCTGGAAAAAGCATCATCATGGGTGCAGATTTATTTTCATGGGCTTCCTGAATTCTCTCGTTCACCACAGCTGCAAGTAACAAAGTTCAAAAAAATTAAACAGAAATTACATTTAAGAAAAAATGTAGAAAAAGAGAGCACATTATAAAGATGGTTTTGTTATATATATATATATATATATATATATATATATATATATATATATATATATATATATATATATTTATATTACAGCCCCACCTAAGCTTAGGTACTAAACCTCTAAAATATTTCGTTTTAACTTAGTAACTAAAGTCGATTTGGTTTTCATTTGGTAAATATATCGTCCCCAATAACATTTCTTCCCTCCATTATCGTTTTACCATCGTTGTTTTCATTATTCCATTATCGTTTATTATTTCACCCTAGTGAACATTATTGTTTTCCACCGTCACGAAGGTCGAAGATAATCAATGTTCTTGCTTCCTTATCAAAACTATTATGTACATCATGAATCTACATCTTCAATTATTAATCGTGAATCCCCTAATCGCAATCTTTATATAGTAAAACAACTTATTTTCATGAGGTTTAGTACCTAAGCTTAGGTGAGGCTGTAATGTATATTCACTTTTCCCTATATATATATATATATATATATATATATATATATATATATATATATATATATATATATATATATATGGATGTGTTACAATATTATAGGGCATCATGAAATCCCAATAAATATACAGCAGTCAGCACAGTTGATAAAGAAACATCAACCATTTAAATATACCTGAAACGCCCTTTGTATTCGATGAACATATACACAACCAAGACACTTGCTGAAAAAACAAAAAATTGTAATTATATAGCAATGGATAACATATTTATAAACTATACAAGAATAATACAAGAAGCTAGAAAACAACTTCAAAAATGTCTTTCTGATCTATGAAAGTAGATTTGGCTGAATTTTATCTTCATTCACAAATTTTTTTTGGATAAATGTTCTTAAAAGAAATTAAATTCTCAAATCTTTCCTTGCTTATCAATTTTTTTAAAAAAAATTAAGGAGAATTGCAAACGAAAAATCAGCATTGAAGGAATATTTTTTAACAGATAAGAAATGAAAATTGGGATAAAGAACGAAACGAAACCATTTTTATTTAGAGTCTGTTTTTTTCTTTTAATTTTTTTTCTTCCATTGAAGTGTATATGGATGTGATTAAAACCAACCTATAAGGCCAACCGGAGGAAGCTTGCCCACTGATTCCTAAACATCCGGTCCTAATTTTTTTTCTTCCATTGTTGTTAAGTCGCTCGACAATTCTATCTCTACGATGATTGAGCTTGCCGGAATAATCCATTGAAGCTAGGGTTATTGCCGCATTAATGATTCCTAAACATCCAGTCCTAAAGTCGATAAAATCATCCATCTCAGGCTATTGATTTGAAAAATTGAATTGATTGAAAGAAAACAGCGAGAAAAAGAATTAGGGTTTAAGAGAAAATCTACCTTTAAGAATTGGTGATTAAGATTCCTTATTTGTTGCTATGAAATTCCTGATATCTTGCTATCGAATTCGAAACTGATTGCCGATAATTTTGTATATCAATTCAAACGTCAATATATTATAGCCGAAGCAGAGGACATTTGGGAAAATCACTTTGGTATTTTGAGCGGGAAAAATCGATTGGGAAGGGGCTTGGAGAATAACACGTGGCAAAAATCTACTTATTTATTAA